GATATTTCAAAATATCAAAAGGATAAAGCTGGCTCGGAGCTGGCTCCGGAGCCAACTACGGCAGAAAATACTTTTAGCTCCAGCTCCGGCTCAGCTCCAGGTAAAATCACCAGCTCCGGATAGCTTTGGCTCCAGCTCCGGAGCTGCTCTAAAGCCATGTCTGAGGCTAAAATAGAACAGCGTTTGGAAAATATTGTTAAACAAAAAGTTATTGAAATTTATGAATTTGAAGAGTTTACAAAACAATGTCCAGGAAAAAAAGACTGTTTCTGTGCTTATAAATAATGTAAAAGTTAATAAACAAAAATGTTTAATATTAGTTTGATTAAAAGAACTTTATCTTGAGTTTTAAAAGTTACACCCTACACACAAAGTTGGATTTGGCAAGTTCTGTGAACTAAGACTGAAATGGTGCATCACAGTTGACAGTAGTGGAAGTCACTCAGTTTCAGTTTGTTCTTATCATCAAAATGCTAAGTTGGTGTGCGCTTTACCTAAGGGCTATTTAATATATTACAAAGATTTGATGAAAGTATGTGTTTGTAATATAGATAGTCGAAGTTGGAACATAGATGAATGTTTCATCTATGTTCCAACTGCCACTGGTAAAGTAAATTTTAAAACTTACTTTGAAAATGTGTTTGAAAATAATGATTTTGAGTTTGATAATCAGATCACATATAAACAATGTGTCAACTAAATGAACTGCACTTGTCACAGTCCAAACAAGCATTATTGAGTTTATTGAAATACCAAGTGAAACTTTGTATGACTTTTGTAACCACCACTTTATCAATGAAGCACAACTCTCCTACTTATCATGGCAAAAATGGATTTTGCAGAGAACTATAGTTTTCTTGTGCAAAATGCTTTGCAAGGATTTTACTGGCAAGCTGATCAAGCTACCTTACATCCATTTGCTGTTTATTACAAAGATGAAAAAAATTAACTCAAATGTGAATGCTAATGTACAATTTCTGACCATCTTTACCTTGACCAAACAACAGTTCATTGATTTCTCACAAAGTTACTCCCAATGATCAAAATCAAACTACCCACAATCAATAAAGTAAAATACTTCAGTGATGGTGCTGTGTCACAGTACAAAAATTACAAATGTCTGTTAAACTTAATGTATCATCTAAAAGATCACAATATAAATACATCACTTCTTTGCTACACCCCATGGCAAAAGTCAATGTGGAATAAGATTAACTATAAAAAGAAAAGCAGCAAAAGCTAGTCTATGAGCACCAACTGCAAACCAGATTCTTACACTAAACAAATAAACTGTTTACATGGGCTGAAAAAAACATTAAAGGTGTTAACAAACTTTACATTTCAAGTGATGAAATCGATAACCATGAAACTTATTTTAACCTAAAGAAATGATATGAAGAGATGAGCACAGTCCCAGGCACAAAAAATTTTGTACCACAAAATGACAGTTTTGTACCAGGTAAAGAGAAATTATTTTTATGGAGAATCTTTAGCGATATTATCTATGATAAACCTCTAAACTTTGTCCCAAAAGCCCCAAAAAAGTGATTTTTTGTTTTTTCAAAGATTTTAAATTATTTTTATAACTTTTTGTAAGTAAACAAACAAGTAAATTCAGTTTTAACTTTCATTTTACATATATGATTAGAAAAAAAAATTATAGCCATAATAACAAGTTTAACTTGGGGATTAAAATATCATAAATATTACTAATTTTTCATGTTAATTGGTATTTCTCATATATAGTATTATTGGTATTTTTAATATTAACTATTAAAATTAATCTCATTAAAAAAACAACAACACATTTTCTAACTTATTATAGACTTGAATATAAAGGAATACACAAAGCTATTGTACATTTATTTAATTAAGAAAAAAAAACTACATCAGTAAAGGTTTGTTTAACGATTGTTTGAAGTTGCTTTTCTGAAATTAGCAAAACACTTTCTGTGGTTTTCAACTTCTTGTAACACACTTTGCTTGCTTTTTTCATCTTTTGTGAGAGACAATAAAAAATCTTGCATCAATTTTACACCTCTCTCAGCAACATTATTAACAACTCTAACATTTTTTTAAAAGTTCATTGCTTTAAGATTTGTTCTCCTCCCATGTTTGCACAGAAGTTTTTATCCACTCAGTGATCACACCAAGGGTTTCAAACAGAAGCCAAGAGATTTGTCTAATCAATGATGGAATTTTTGTATTTTTTCTCACTACAAGAAAAGTTGCTTTACCTTTTTCAGCTCACCACATTGGTAGAATTGGAGTTTTTTAACAATATTCTTTTTTTCATTGTCAGACAACGTTTTTAAAAACAAATAAAAAACTGCAATCTCCTTCTCAATGAAGGTAGTTGTTCCAGACGATTGCCCAACAACCAAATTTGGTGTTTTGAACTCAAACTTGATTGACTCATATTGACAAAAAGCTAACTTTATAACTTTCACAAAATGCACTGCAGTATCTCATAGCAACATAAACATAACCTCAATCTTTAACAATAACAAAAAGATGACTATATTATAAAAATGACAACTATACTTACTTTTTAGAACTCTGTTTCATACATGTACTGTTTTACATTTTATAATCAACTTTTTGTAATTAACAAAACTCCCGAGGAATAATTATGTACATTATCCCAAGAAAATTTTGTATGTATTTTTGATAATTATGTACATGTAAATAAATATTCAAAGGAGGTTTTGAATTTATTTTTGATAATTATGTACATGTACATAACTATCCCAAGGGAGTTTTAAATGTATTTTATATGTCATAAACTATTTTGGCAAGAATAGTTTATGACATATATACACTAACAACTTGTAAACACTATTAAATCATAATAGCTTATTCAATTAAGCAATTAACAGAAAGCATCAAAACAAGTCAGCTAATTACTAAAATTTTAATGTGCTTTTGATGTATCTTAACATATTTAAAAATACTAATAAAAATAAAAAAATCATTATGATGTTTTAATTCCCATATTAAACTTGTTATTATGGCCTTTGATTTTTTTCTGAACATATGCCTAAAATAAAAGTTTAAACTGAGTTTACTTGTTTGTTTATTTACAAAAGGTTATAGAATAAAAAAAATTATAAATCTTTAAAAAAACCAAAAAAATAAATATTTTTTGGGTTTTGGGCCAAGGGTTAGTATTATATTTTAGGCTGAAATTTGAAATTTAGGGTTCTTACATTACCCGTCACCAGAAAACAGCCTGGGAAATCAACATTTTTGAACTTTGGTTTTTTTTAAAAGATCCTAGTGATTACAAACTTACTAATAATGATTATGACAGTATTAAGATTTTTATAAATTAGAGATAAAGAAATTAGTGTAATTGTCTTTCATCTTTTTTGAAACATAATATAACTTGCGCTATTAGGTATTCTTTTAAACTAAAAAAATATTGCACTCACAATGTTAAACTTATGTCATAAGATAGAGAATAGATCTATGAACCTTTTTGGTGATTGTCTATATATAGAACCTTGCCAATAAAAAATTTCATAATTTATTTGAACTGTCTACGCTACTATTTATGCCTACAAAGTGAATGTAATTTATCATATTTTTTTTTAAACAAGTGATATTTTAACAGGCTACTACAAGTGCTAAAATAACTTTTAACACATAATTTTAATATTTTCCGCAAGTGGCTACTCTATGTACACAAAGTAGCAAAATATTGACACAGCTTGTCTGTTGGTATTGAACTGTAGCACATTAAAGTTTCCAAATTTTTTTCTGATATTGCGTTATTTGGCAACTTTGAGGTACAAGAAATTGTTTATAATCAGTCAAAAACACCTGCTAAGTTGAATTACTTAGGTTAAAAACTATTAACATACAAAATTTCAGGTGATCATCTTTTTTATTTACAAAGTTATGCTCTGTCAAAAATCAAAAAAATTTACTGTAAGCTCAGGTAAAAATTAAAAAATTGTAATTATAAAAACACATTATAGGTTATTGTGGATTCTTACACTATTGTTACAACTATTAAACCTAAACTAAACAGTTTCTTCTATTAGAATAAGCAATTATAACATTTTTCTTTTAAATAGTAAAAACTACACAAAACGATTACAATATATATATATATATATATATATATATATATATATATATATATATATATATATATATATATATATATATATATATATATATATATATATATATATATATATATATATATATATATATATATATATATATATATATATATATATATATATATATATATATATATATATATATATATATATATAGCGCTTTGTTAGCACTTTAAGTCAAAAACCTACAATCTTCTTAAAAAATTTTCCTTTAGGTTAATTATGCAACTGGAAAATAAAGTTTTAAAATCAAAACATATTTGGAGCCTAAATACTAATTAAAATAACTCTTTTATTCTTATCAAATTTTTCCTTCATTTTTTATACTAAACTTCTTTTTATTATGAAATACTCTTAGTATACATCAGTGTTAAGTTCAAATAAATTTGATTAAATAAAAATAAAAATATGTTAATTTCAGATTTTCACATACAAAAGTAAATACAAATATATGTAATTGGCATTTTCCAATTACAAATAAGTCATACTAGTTTATTGTGTTTTTTTGGGAATAACATCATATAAATACATTTCAATTGAATGCAAATACAAATATATATATTTAAGAAATTTTTTAACCAAATACAATACAAATACAAATAAACCAATTTAGCCCTTAACTACCAAATACAAATACAATTTCAAATACAAATACGTATATGACCGTAACCCTCGAGTATATTAGCATATTTACATGGATAAATAACTTTTCTTAAGAGAAATGCTTTTTTATGTTAGAAAAAAATCCATTAAAAATTTTATAACATTGTAGTATTATTATACTTTTTCATGCTGTTAACAAAGTACAATAAAACATGGTAATTATTTCCTTATTTTACATTTTATATTATTAAACTAATTACTTACTTCCGAAGTTATCCTTGAATGGATCACCAATTGAAACATATCCTAATTCACTAAATAAACCAACTCTGGCTAAATCGTTTTTTGTACTTGTTGCCATGCTTTCTATATTTCTAACATGAATTTAAGCATTCTGCAAAACGTCGTACCTTTTAGATATAATGAAAACAGTATAATAAATTATAATATTACTTTCAAATGGTATTATTATCAAAGTACAAATTGTATTAATTAGTGATACTTAATTTTTTTATTTATTTATATTTTTTATCTATTAACTAATAAATACAAAAAATAACCAACAGTCATAAGTATTAAAAGATACAACTTCTTGCGCTTAAAATATTTTTTATAACACAAACTCTTATAAGTATTTGTTATAGTATATTATGTTAAAAAGTGATTAACATTATATTATGTTTTAAATAAATAAAAGCATAAATTGATCGTTTACTACCATTTTGCGTCTTTGGTTGCTATAGACGGGCAGAAGTTATCCACAAACTACGTCACGCAATTTTTTGTACCGTTTTTGACATTCTCTACCCCAACATCGTTAGTAACTCTTTAGTAACAAGGCAAAAAGCCACTAACTCTTCCGTCCAAAGAGTGACGTAATTTATGGACAACCTTTAACACTATCAAAATAATAATGGATAAAATTCTTGGATGTGCGATTCGCTCACTTGAAAAATTTACTATATACGCATAAAAATTTCTATAAGTTATCAGTGGAAGCGCCGCTGTGAATGCTATGAACCTATTCTTCAGGTTCGACCAGACTACCAAGTGATTGCGTGTTAATAGATTGCGTGTTACCAAGTGATTGCGTGTTAGTAATGTCGCTACTTTACTAGTCGCTACGTAATTTTCCTTTTTTTTTGTTTTTTTTTTGTTTTTATCTTGTTATCAGTAAATAAATGCGTTTTACTTTTAAGGGGAATAACTAAATAATACCATGCCTTATTTTTATTTTTCAGTGCAATTGGAAAAAGCTGAAAGCCATTTTTTAGATCAAATGAAAAGAGCTGCAGTGCTTTTAGTCACTTAAATTCAATTGTTTTATTTTTTTAATAGAAGGGTTAATAAAAATAAAAATTTTTAGACAGTGGAACAGGTATTGATTTAAGTAAGTTTACTATTTTGTTTTATTTTATATTGGATTTACTTTATATTAGATATATATTTTATGTATTTAACATGGAAAACTGACTGTAATTTGTTGACACGTAAGTTTATATAAATAAATGAGCTGTAAGTTTATATAAATAAATTTCAGTATTGAATGGCTTTACTTGAATTTCCTTCGCTACGTTGTGACAATTTTAAAAAGAACTTAACTCATATTAATGCAGTCTTCGTGTCGTTTACTATAAGCAATGACATTGCTAATAGGGAGTCAAACTAAAAATTTTATTTATAGATAAATTTAATTTTTTAGATATCAAGTTATTAATGTTTTTATTGCTAATAATGATTTAACCACAAGTAACCCGTATTGCGAGTTGCTTACTGCTAGTATTAAAATATTATTCAAATTAAAAAATACGTTTTTAAAATTTTTGGGAGCCCCTAATTATTTTTATTTTTTGACTTTGCTAGCGAAAGGCGTTGTTTCAAAGTGGAGGCGTTTCTAAAGTTACAGTAATGTTTTTTGAAAATCTCTTATATTATGCCAAATAAATGTGGAGCTGTAAAAAGGGAAATATATTAGACTTAATAAGTGTTGTGTTTTTAAATTATCTAAAGATGAAGTAGAGAAACAGAAATTGATTTACGAGCTTTTTTCATAAAAAAATATTATCGAACCATCTAAATATTTTATAAACAAAAAATAATGGCTTGAAAATACAGAAATGAATAAGCTTCCTGGTGGCGATACTTGACCAATATGTGCACCAAGTGTTTTAATACCTTTTTGTAGTTTAGCAACACCTAAGTCAATGCTTCGTCAATCTAAGCCTGAGGATCAGCAACTTAATTATTTTCTTAAAAAAGACAAAATAGATTCTTGTTCTGAATTCTATCCTGACAAAAAATTACTCAAAAAGTATGAAAATATTGTAATATTTTGGCAAAAAGATAAATTCATATGCATTTTTATGTGAAAGGATTTTAAAGAGAGCTTCACGACAACTACTGTTTACAATAAGTATACATTGTGTTCACCATTAACTTTTTCTGCTTTTAAACATGGCATTTGCAATATATTGAATCCCAACAATGGTTTAATTTCCTATTCACAGTTTTTTGAAGCTATAATTTTAGTTTATAATTATAACCTGCATGTTAATGATATTATTGAAAAAGTGACAAATATTCTTTAGAATATGAGTTTCAATTCAATGATTCAATCAACAAACCATCATCCTTTTTCAAAATATAACTTCAGTAAAACAATATGAATGATAATTTTTAATTTTACTTTTTTAACTTTTAAAATAACATTTAAAGTAATTGTTATATATTTATACACTAAATATTTGTTATTTTTTTTAATCAAAAATAGCATTTGTTTAAATGTATTAATGGCAAAAACCTTTTTTTATAGAATCTTGAACAAATATCTAGATTCTCTTGATTGGTAAATATTTAAACTGATCAGAAAAACCAGTTAAAAACAAAACAAAAAAATATCAAAGTATATCATTAAATCTAGTCTAACCTAATAAATATTTACTTAAATCTTGTATAATGCGGTATAATGCGGCAGTGCGTAGTGGTAGAGCGCTTGCTTTATAAGCGAGACATTCTGAATTCGTTCCCACCACATCCCTGGTAGTACTGCGCTTAACTTGTTTCTTCACGCAGAGGCCTTGTTTGTCAAGGTTCATGTTTCGTAGTTATAGAGTTGAGAGAGGGTAGTAGCCACAATTAAGTAGCCTCCTTGTCTGTAATGGTCTTCTCGGCCTTGGGGAGGTGAATTAACATAAACAAAAAAGAATCTGAATTTTATTACAAGACAATTTAAACTATTATGTAACAAAAGTTTCTCTATAGCTGATTATTACTTTGTTATTGAGTCTTTTTATAATTGCAAATATGATTAACTTCGTGATTTTTAAATGCTTTCAAGTAAACGAAAGCTGCAATCTATAATTGCCAAAAACATCTTGAAGCGTAGAAGATCATTTGAAAAATGTTTTTTTAATAGTTAATGACATAAAAATCAAACCAACTGTTGCTTATTCAGGCGGAATCTTATATGGGATGGCTAAAAACAATCTAGGATCTAAAGCAACTTCTAAGCTACGTGCAATCATGAAATGCTTACATGGTGGACCTAGGTTTATGGTTTCTGTTACATCTATTCACCAAATAACACCAATGTATCAATTCAGTGTTGTGAAAATAGCTGCTGTTATAGTTAAAAAAAAATATGGTCATTATTTTAGGATCTGTAATAGATAATCATAAAATCAGCAATAATACAAAATTTTCAAAAGAATTACTGACTATCAGGCCATTCATCCATTCGATAATCAGCGTGTTTATTTTTTTTTGTTTGATACAAGATATGTTCTTAAATGTTTACGTAAACTGAATTTCTGAAAAACGCTAAAAGTTATCTCTTGACAATAAAACCATTGGTTCCTTTTCTAATGTCAAAAGCTTATATTAATATAAAAAAGACATTTTAAAATTAGTTCCTATATCCCATGCAGCTGTTAATCCTTCTAGACTTCAATTAAAGAATGTGCAACATGTTTTAAGAACATTTGACGAGAAAGTAGTAGCTGCTTTGAAACTAAAGGGAGCTCAGATTGGTTGTGGTCTCTAAGAGACCATAACCGATTTGCGCTAGATAAAAATTCTAATAATCTGCAGTTATTTTTAGAACAACTTAAATCTATAAAATCAGGGCATGGACCCAAACGAATTCAATGTGTTACCCATGATACCAAAAAAGCCCTTTTGCAAACCACTCAAGGGTTGATAGCTGCCTACAAGCATTTATTTTCAGTTGTTTTTAATTGAAGCTTACATTTGTGATATGAGTCTTTCAGAAACTAAAGAGAGCTCTGCTGCCCATGTGGCTGGGTGGCTAGAGAAAAAATGTGAGGGTGAACTAATTTATGGTGAGGAATAATTAGAATGGGGTTATGCTTTGTGAAAAAACCCAAACAAAGAGCATGTTGTAGAAAAGACTTATATAGATACTGTCTATAATGGATATATATTATAAAGATACTGTCTATATTGGACACACATTATGATTTTGGTTTATCATCAAAAAATCTTTTTATGCGTTTGGCAAATGCCCTTTTGCATGGAATTCGGAATTTGGAAAAAGACTAAGCAAAAAATGCATGTCTTTATCGAACATCAATTAAAAAGGCACGCCTTGTCCAGAATTATTTATTTATAGATAGACTTAGTTAACACGTTGTTAATTTGCTGTTATTACTAACTTTCTATTTGTTTTATAATTTTTACTTTTTTATTAAGTTTTTAATAATATTGGTTTTACAATACGTTGTTTTGGTTAAATTTAATTTTATAAGCGTTTAGTAAGAAGTACTGAATGGCCTTCGCTAGCGAAATCTGAAAATCGACTTTGCGCGTCCTGTCTTGTAGTCCTTGCTACTCTAACATAATCTTCAATTGTTAACTTTTCTTTTTTTACTTTCGATATATTACTACCCTAGCCGCATGTAAGTAGCCACATATTATAGTAATTAGATTGCAACACATTTTTCAAAACAAATGTATGTCATATAAAAATGTTTTAGAATCATATAAAAATGTTTTAAAAGTCATATAAAAGTCATTAAAAGACAATTCAAATATGGTGCGATATAAACCTAAAACAAAAATTGCCAAAATGCCCGCCCGATGAGGGACTCGAACCCGCGACCCTCAGATTAAAAGTCTGATGCTCTACCGACTGAACTAACCGGGCTTGGTTTCTTACAGAGCTACATATATTATATTAAAAAAAAAAAGTACTTAAATTTACGTGATGCATGATTACGGCATTTTTTTCATTTTTTTTTGGAATTAAAAATTAAATACCAAAAGGTTAGATTATGCGAGAAAGTAGTAAGGTAATGTAAAGATTTATAAAAATGGTAAATTAATGTAACGATTTATCTTAATCACTTTTTTACTTTATTTCGACTTGTGAGTTTGAATTCTATACAACTTTTTGGCCTAAATTAACCGCCAAATTGTTTATAATAAAGTATAGCTAACTTTTATACGGAATTTATGTAGTTTATTTTTTATTGTTGCTAAATTTAGACGTGCACACAATGTAAACATCCAATGATATCACAAATTATCAACAATGCTTATCACAAATCATCAACAATATTGTTGATAATTTGTGATAAGCATTGTTGATAATTTGTGATAAGCATTGCAATGCTTATCACAAATTATCAACAATGCTTAAATTATCAACATATTACTAAAAGAGGAACTTATTAATTAACAAGAATTGATTATTAATTAAGGTACTTAGAAATAAAAAAAAGGCGTAAAAAATGTTTAAATTGTTAGTTAAACTTTAATGGAAAAAAATAATTTAAACAGTTTTTTAAGGTTTTTTTTTAATATAAGACGAACTGACCAAAATCTGGCCGCTTCTTAC